TACTCCCAGATTAAATAATAAAATAACAGCACTTGTGTTATGATTGTAAAAAGATGTAGCCCGATTATTTGTATTATGCGAGTTCACCTGTATATATATGGTGTTCATTGTTTTAAAGTGCTAAATAATCTTTTATTATAAATTAAAGCTAAAACTGTATTGAAATTATTTTCTTCTTATGTTTGTATTTTTTAAGCTCCGCTGGATATTTCAGTGACTGCACAGTTTGAAATTGACAGATAAACGCAAGAGGCTGCCACATGCTCAGTTGAGCTCTCTCTGATCATGTGACTGAATCAGAGCTCTTGACCTTTCAGGTGCAGACGAAGAGTCCGAGAACGCAGAGGACGTTTGTTTGTTTGTTTGTTTGTTTGTTTGTTTCAGGAGTAAAGAAAAACTGACTGTCTCTGTTCACCCCCGGTTGCTGGGAGGTTTTTCTTGCTCAGTGCAGCGTCTGGAGTCAGAGGGGCCCAATGCAGTCAAATGTCCTGCTGCATTCATTATGAGCCCCAGGGGGATTGTGGTTAAGAGAGAGGATGGACGGTCTGATGAAATATAAAACTGTAAATCATTTTTTTCCCATGATGCACTCCTGATTACAGCACTTTAAAGGTTGATTGACTGATCTATATTAATAATAATAATAATAATAATCAGTTTAAGAATAACAGCGCATCCAAATCCCAGTTGCTTTTTTAATTTTTTAGGTGGGGCGGAGCTTTAAGGCAGGCATTTACATATGATTTATAACCACAATGAACTAATTGTGGATTTATTGCATTAACAACTAATCATGTTCAGCAGAGTACTCTGGAATGTTAGTCCTATGGATCCTACATTTTCCCACTAATGCAGCAGGACTAGTTACAGCGTAAACGTTAGCTCTCTGAAATTGGAGCCTGAGCAGTGAACAACGTTTCATTGCATTAGAACATTATGGGATGTAATGATTCTTCCACGTATTAGTGGACTTCAGGTTTTACCAGATGTTAAAATGGTCTCTGCTGTCTTTGTACGTCAGATTCCACCACGACTCTGACCTCTGACCTCGGGCTCCTGTCGTTGTCTATGAACCGTATAATAATAATAATAATAATAATAATATAATTATTTTGTGATAACTCGACTGACGATGTTCAGACTGTATCAGTGAGTCCTCACAGGTATAGAAGAAACGTGTGTGTGTCTGTGTGTGTGTGTGCTGTGTGTGAGTGTGTTGTTGTGTGTGTTGTGTAGTGTAGTGTGTGTGTGTGTGTTGTCTGTGTGTGTGTGTGTGAGTGTGTGTGTGTGTTGTCTGTGTGTGTTGTGTGTGTGTGTGTTGTGGTGTTGAGTGTCGATTGTCTGCTGTGTGTGTGTGTCGTGTGTGTGTGAACAGTGTGTGTGTGTGTGGTGGTGTGTGAGCTGTTTGTGTGTGGTGTTGTCTTGTGTGTGTGTGTGTGTTGTTTGTCGTGTGTGGTGAGTGTGGTGTGAGTGTGTGTTGTGTGATCTTCCATCAAAGACTCGACACATTTGATGTTCTGCGTTACACCGTAACAGGTCCCATCCCCACCATCGCCATGGTGACCATTTACTCAAGCAACTCTCTTCTGCCTCTGTTGTCAACACGCAAACACCACACACACACTGTCGCAGTCACTGCAATGCATGCTGGGGTGTGAAAATGTGGGAAGTCCGACGAGGGTAACGAAATCAGACGGAGACTTTAACGAGTTTAAGGAGCCTTGTTAAAAGGTGGCGTTGCTTATTGGAAACGGTGCTCTGAAGCGAGTGACCCCGATATGAGCAACGGCGTGAGGAGAATAGACAGAGAGAGAGAGGAGAGAAGGGAGGAAGTATCCGTGTTACTTCACTTCATTTACAAAGCACGAGTCAGAAAACAAGATTATAAAATCCTCAGATTAACAACACTATATGAACACATCAACTCTTCCTCCAGTTAGTTAAATGACCGACAGGTCCAGTGAGTGTGTCTGTGTCAACTCTTCTCACAGGTTATTTACATGACAGACAGTCAGGTGAGGTGTGTCTGTGTCCAACTCTTCCTCACAGTTGTTAATGACAGACAGTCAGTGAGTTGTCCCCTGTGTCCAATCATTCTCCACAGGTTAGTTAATGACAGACAGTCAGGAGTGTGTCTGTTTCCCAACTCTTCTCACAGGTTAGTTAATATATTACTGAGTCAGTGGTGAGCAGATTGTGTCTTGTAGACTGAATGAGAATCAGAGTCTCAGGCTGATTGTGGAAATAAATTTGTTACTTTCCTTAAAAGCCGTTTTTTGAATGGAGTTTGGGTGTGATTGGTGGGGTCAAGGTAGAGCAGGGGGATTTGAATCCTTAATAATCCATAAACTGAGCTGACCGACCTTCTAATAATGAACCTTTACAGCAGACAGTAACAGTTCAATCTGAAGGTGAAATGAGTTGACGTGAGTTTTTGTCTGTGGAGTCTGGTGGAGAGCGACACCTTCTTATTTTGTGTCTGTAAAAACAAACTACAGTAATGGATGATTCACATCAGATGTGTCTGATGTGAATCATGTTGTTGTTGTTCCAGCTGCTTTATGTTCTTTATACAGTCAGATTTTATTTTCTTTAATAATAAATGTATTAAAATGTGTATTTGAACAAAGAGAGTGTTGATCACTCCCACCACCTGCTCCACCCCCCACATCCTCCCAGCCTGCTGCATCTCTCTCTCTCCCTCCCTCTGGGACTGTCTGGTTACCATGGCAACCGCATCCTCCAGGCAAGGAGAAGAGGAGGAGGAGGAGAAAATGGCGGCAGTGTGTGGCAGAGTTGTACATGCAGACATGAATGTTATTACACTGAACCAGAGAGAGATTTAATCTGGATGCTGAAAGCTGGAAGATAATGTTAGCGCCTGTGTGTCCTCTCACCCCGCAGACACAACGCCTCTGTTAGAAAGACAAAACAATCTGAGGCCTTCAGCTCCTCGGCTTTAACCGACAGCAGCTCAACACGCCGGGACAAACGGACACGGGTAACGTCTCAAAGAAGGACGAGGAAGAATCTGTAGACGGCGATTCGTCTTCACTCAGTAACTCTTAAAATATATGTTTTTTAAAGGGAGTCTGGTGATAACGAGGTTACTGGTCCAGTGAGGTGGAGGTCAGTGAGGAGGAGGAGGAGGAGGAGGGTGGATGATGAAGATGAGGATGATGAAGAAGAAGAGGAGGATGGTTCATTCATTCACCACAACAGCAAACTGTCTCGTCATCACAGAGTGAGTCAGCGCTCTCACTTCCTGTCAGAAAACAGCGAACGCCTGCGACACACGGACATTTTATTGTTGTTGTTTGTTGTCGTTTGTTGTTGTTATGCTAATAGCAGCTAATGTAGCCTGTAGCAGAGAGGAGCAACAAACAGAAATAAGTCTGTTCTGTTTTATAGAATCAGGTTTTAATAAAAATATATCAGATAATATTGAACCAGTAACAACGGTAATATCCCAGCACAGGAAGCAGATTATTTTCAGAGTAAGAGCATTGTCTGGTCAAACATTTAAATATTGTTTTTGCTCAATAAAAGAAAATGTGATTCTATTCAACAATATTTAATTTACAAACACAGGAAACAACATGGTCGCCTCTCCACATCTCGACTCAACTTGAACCACAAATCCTAAAACAGCGACTGAGCTGCAGTCAGACAACAACGAGAAGGTCAAAGGTCAGAGAGAGCTGCTCCCAAAACTCTGTTACATAACGTCACCGCCGCCTCTCGCTGCCTCTTCCAGGTCACTGGAGAAGGACTTCCTGTCCCCGAGGCGGTCTGAGTCACAGCTTCTGATGGTCTGATACGCAGAGGTCAGAGGTCAGAGAGGTTGTTATGAACGTCTCTGATATCAGTCAGCAAACAGACTTCTGACAGTTCCAACATCAAAAAGAAGAAACTGAACAAAAAACTAAACGACAGAAATTTGTTGATCAGCGTCAGAAACATTATAACATATTATCTGTTTGACTGTTTGTATTTTACTGTTTGTATCGTAATCGTTTTTACAGTGAGCAGAAATATTGATGTATATTATATATATAATTGATATTGATGTGGTGTTTTGAGGGCATCAGAAATCACATGTATCAATATTATTATCAATATTTGAGCTGACAAACATTATTGTGGCACATGAAGCACTGAATAGAAATATAAAGGTGACTTTAGAGATCAATACATCATATTATTTATAAATCTCAAGACTCTTTTACAAAGCATTATTTTCTAAATGTGTTTAAATTAATTTAGATCCGACTACAATCTTACATTTACAGTGAATATCAAACAGGAGGAAACTAATCAATAAATGTTACATAGAAA